TGCCATTCATGTGCAGTCCATGTCGCACAAAGGTGATCTTTTTTAAGGTACCAACCAGTGGAACAGTTCCAGAATCAAGTCGAGTCAGGATATCGGGTGATGCAAAAAGAAGGGAAGTTCATAACGGTTTTGGTGCAGGTTGGAATTCGGTGGCAGACTACGAGTCCGAAACACGAAAGCTCGCAGCAGTTGCCATGGCTGATGAAATATTTTTGGACCAAAGTCGATCGATTTTTAAACCAAGGGATCAGCACTTTAATGGATTAGTTGACGTGCCGAATGGATGTAGTCCGGGTCATTTCCCAGTGAATTTCAAAACAGGAGGACCGTCCTGTACTGAAACATTTGCTATGGCGAATGGATATCAGAATCAGCCGACTTTTAAACGGAGAGATCCTTTCATTGCTGGGGCGGCTGTCAAGCAAGCTGAAATTCATGTGGATCAGAATTCAATGAAACAGCAAGATTCGCGCGCTATTCCAGCAGTTGCTACGCCGACCAAGATTTTTCCAGACCAGAATTCAGTGAATTTCGCTGCGGGGAGCTTCCCGAATAATGCAGCGTTTGCTGTTCAGGGTGGAAATTTTCCGAATCAAAATCCACTTGTTTTCATGCCAGGTGCGCACTGCGCTACAGCTGCCATGGAGGATGGAAATTATATGGATCGAAATGTAATAAATTGCAAGCGAACAGATTCGCACATTGCTGCGGGAACATTCACACAGAACGGGAGTATGGATCAGAATCCAGTGACTGTCGGAACAAAAGACTTCCAGACCCCTGCGGCATCACTTATGCAGGATGGGAATTTTCAACATCAGAATCCAGTGACTTTCAAAACCAGAGATCCGCTTATCTCTGCCACAAATGTATTGCCAGGTGGGAACCACGTGGACTGGACTGCGACGGATATTAGAGCAACTGGTCAAGGCAAAGTTGCGCCAGCTGCGAAAGTGAAGGATAATGGTTCGATTAACACGTGGAAAGATTTAGAAGATGAGTTGGACATGATCGCCATGGTTGATGCGATACTGGAAGAAGCCAAGAGGTGTGTTTGTAGTTGAGAGATTTCCACATTGTGCGTTGCTAGCTGCATGATATCCATTCGCTTTTTGGATGTAGTCGAATTTGATAGTTAAAAGCTCCCAAGTTTAGATCGATGAGAGATACA